TCCTGTTGTTATTATTCACAAAAACAAGCAAAGATTTTAAAGGCTTAAGTAAATACATATACATGTATGATGAAAATGAATGGATTTCTTTTATTTTTGGTTATATCTTAAAACAGATGTGTTTCATCCTCTCTCTCTCTCTCTCTCTCTCTCTCTCTCTCTCTGGCAATATGCATGTATCTTTAAAGACAACCAATTTGTCATGCATGTTTATCACAGATTTTCAACCTTTTAGTTTTCCTTCTTTTTCCAGGACGACAAAAATATCATTGTGCACTTCTAGTCCTACAGTAGACTTGATTTTTTGTATGTCCTCTTTAGATTTCTTCTGTAGTCTTTCCAGCAAAGTTGTTTTTCCAGCTCCCGCACAACCGACTATCATTGCCCGTGCTCTATATATTGGCGTTTTTCCCTTTTTCAGGTATTCCAAGTATCGACGTCGGGCATCTAAATCCCATTGCAATATTTCTTCAGGGATTTTCACTGAAAAAGAGAAGCTATCTCTATACACGTTTACTTCAAGTTACTGAATGTCAATCCATTTTCAAATGTAATTAATTTTCCCAGGTTGTGTATCCCTCTCAACAGTATTAAGAAAATTAGTCAAAATAAATATCTTATTAAAAGGACCGCGAAGAGCTTGTTAAGGAAAAAATCTATTCTTCTAATTTCAGGAAACTGACACGAAAAAAAAGGATGAAAGAGACCAAATGATGTCTTTTAACAAGGTTTGTAACAATACAGTCTTTGTTTCTAAAGCTTAGTATTTTACATTTAATGGTAATTTAGGAGAACTGCGTTTAATTCCGCGTAGCAATCCAATCTCCTCAAAGATGCATTGAACTTAAGATTTGAATATATTCAATGAATGGAATAAAGATTGATTAAGCGTGTTGATTTTAATGCTTTTGTGAAGAAAATTGTCAATAATCTTGATTTAAAAATGCTGATTTTCCAATTTCCGTCGTATTTAGTATTTTTTGCGCCTGGATTGACAGATCGGAGCGTATATTGCTTTTGTCCATTCTGTCTGATTGTCCTTTAACCTTTGACATCTTTTTGACCGTGAGAGATAGAAACTTGATAGCTAGAATAATCGCTTTACTAATAAAGTTCTTACTAATGACACCAAGGTTAATACCCATGTGACATTGAATGTTACGTATATTCTTTAAATAGCATTTACAACCTTAAGACATAACCTATGAACTATAAGAAACAGACACTTTATATTTACTTTGCATATTCCACAAATAAGGTTCTTTCAGATGACACCAATGTTAATGACCTTATGACCTCGACTGTGACATGTATGCTAAAAATAGTGTTTTAGAAGGTCGTTGCGACCAGGTGCATAGTGTTTCAAAACACATTTTGTTTCCTATTGTAACAAATCAACATGGACATACATGTTCACCCTGTTTAATCTTAGTTAAATATCATCAAATCCAGATTATTTCTTCTTTTCAGTAGGGTGGCCGAAAAAGTTATTAGGAGAGTAAGCTTTAGATACATAAGAAAAAAATTGCTTGTGTTGTATAATATCGTATCTTAATATATGCAAATTTGCAAAATAATTTTGAAAAAATTATATCTCCCAGGAGAGTGAAATATGCAGCCAGTTCTTTGGAAATACCTGAAAAATAAAATTAATAAGTATATATCTATAATTTAAGTATATTTGCTTGGGTGAAGACATATTAGACATCACCATCAATGCTTTCAATATCTAACTTGAAAAAGCAGAACTGGGTACATATCCTTTTACTGTCTCAAAATAAATTATTCGTTACTTCTGTTGTCAAAAGCCCACTTGACCCTGACATTCAGGCCACCAAAAATTTTCGCCTGCAAGGTACTTTGGTCGAATGCAGATTTCAACCATGAGTGTACTTAAGAAATAAATAACAAGTTTATAAACTTCAATGGAAATTGAAGTGGGTGAGGTCACGTGATCAAATCCTGTGAAGGCCGAAGGCCTTCTCAGAAGATTTGATCACGTACCAACCACTTCAATTTCCATTGAAGTTTATAAACTTGTTATTTATTACTTATAAATACATTTGAGACAGACAATTGAATATTTTCGAATTTATTTATTGCACAAACCGTCCGTCGTAGATTTTGAAAAAAATGACGTAAGGTGTAAATCGGCTTGCATGGCGGTTACGCTTCGAATTTGTTAGGCTAAGGAATCTATTTCGAAGGGAATAATTAGTGGAAGGCTACTTGTGATCATTAATAGTGAACAGATTGTTGTCTGGGAATATTTTTATTCGTGAAAATTGATAATTGATGCCGAAAAGACACAAGAAACACGTCCGAAGTTTGATGATAAAAAGTTGGAGGAATTTAGGTCGCCAGAAAGGGATGGATGGATCCGATGGATTGAGACACTTGTCCGAGCTAGTTAATTTGCAAATCATTCTACGATTACAGTAACTAAAGGCATACTTATCGTAAAACACTGATAAACACGGAGACACTGGCGACAGCTTTACATTGAACTACGAAAACTCAGAGGTGTTTGGCAGCTGTTCGTGGCATGATTGTTGCAATGGTATTTTCCTACAGATTTACACATTTATCGTGAGTAGAATTTTGAGATAAAATAATAGCCAAGTTTATCATGAAAAATTAACGAAAGGTCTACACCAAAAATAAGGATAAACGTTAGGCCCTACAGACTTTGCAGCTAACAAAAATGAAAAAAAATTGTAAAAGGTAGTTTTCTCTATGTACAGAGGTTGAATCGATAGCCAACAAACTGTATGAAATACTTGTTTACATTGTATATAAATTAATCATCATTTTATTTGCTTATTTTGTTCATTTTTGTACATGAAAAGCAAGTAGAGTAGGTCATTTTATAATTAATGTACTGGTAGATATTATTGCGCCGTGTGATTAGGTCACGTATTGACCTCTGACCTCTGACAAACTTCATACAGAATTGAAGATATTTTTTCTCTGTATGTTTATATAATGGAGAGATACCACAAATGTATATATTTAACGGAATAGTAAGGCACATGTTATTATCTAGCAATTTGGAACCGATGTTTGAATTTAAAGAACCAAGCAAAAATGTTGTTGTGCAATAAATATAAGGTGTTTTTTATGTGAGGAACTATAGCTCTCTGGTTGTCCTTCAATTTTTTTTTTCAGATCAGCTAACTACAGATCTGCACCTAAAACAGAAATTAATTAAATTCTAAATTGTAAACCAACAAAGAGAACAATTTAATGCTACTATGAAAGACAAAACAGAAAACCTAATCTGCATCAAGATGCAAAATCCAAGAAAAGGATGGAAAATTAGGGAAATACAAAAAGGCTTAGTAAGCAGAAGTGAACAACCGATCAACCAATTCTAATCGAATTCTGAGGGCATTAGAATACTCAGTACAAACACTTTTGCAAACCAACCATCTATGGCACAGACCTCTTCTAATAAACCCCTGAAAGCCAACCTTTAGCAAAATGCTTATTTACTGTGTATCAACTTCACACTTCCCAATTCCAATCACGATGTAAAGGGCTCAGGAACATGGTCAAAGATTTTTTTTATCAAGTCAATTACAATAACATTACATTACTGAGAGCCAAAAAAATGTTTTATTTTTTATTTGTGAAGCCGTCTGCCAATTGTGAATTTGTGATTAAATACCTTGAACTCAACAAAAAAGTCACAATCCTATAGATGCTTTCTTTAGTATATTTCAGGGCGTTTCATCATTGTCCAAAACCACACTTACCTCTACTTTCAATCGAAAGTGCTTACATGTTTTAGTGATATATGAGGGCTGTTCAGTAAATAAATGTCCTGAACTTTCAGACATACTTTACAAATATCATTTGACAAAATTTGATTTTTCGCATGATTTAATCTTTAATGGTATATTTTTCAAAGGTTTATATTACACTTTTAGCGCCAGATAACATATTCTGAAATTTATTTTCACATGAAAACCTTTACTGATTGTAATTTGTCTATATTTATTTTTTCATTGAAATATTACTAATATTTTCCAAGTCTATTTCATTTTCCAGTTTTTAGGAAACAAATTTTCTAAGAACCATCCACTTTTCTAAACTTGTGACATAATATTAAATCTTTTTCAAAGAAAAAAAAATTGTACAGTATCATCTGTCCTTAAGAAATCCACTATAACGTCAACGACTCGTTAGACGTGCAGTGTAGGGAAACAGAATAGTGGATCAATTTTGTCCGTAATTTGATAATATTTGGTAAAATATTATATCTTGTATGAATGTTTTGAATACTGTTAATAATTTTTTCATTTGCGAGAACTTTATTTTCCTGTTATTACGCGAGACAGTGAGCTTGCAAAAAATCATTATTCTCGCTTATAATAGTATTCTTTAAGATTTTATAGAGAAGTGACAACAGTTTGTGAAAATTATGTCTCGCTAATAAAAAAAAATAATGACAATCTCGCCAAAAATTGGTGTCGCAAAATTAAGTGATCTACAGTATTCCTTTACAAGATTGTGAACGCTAACAAAGAGTCACAAATTATACAAAATCTGTGGTTTTAATCTTGTTTTGTACATGTTTAATCAAAGTTTAAACTGAGTCATGTGGCCATACATCCTCCGTCCCCTTAAGGAAACATTTTACAAAAAAAACAAGCTTAATTCACAAACAAAAATAGGCATAATTCTGTGTTTCCTTTGTAAATCAACAAATTAAAAGATGTTAAATTTATTTTCCGATCATTTGAATTACATTAATTGTAAACATCGATATTGATTTTGAAAAAAAAACATCTGAAAATGTGTCGGTGTTCCTTTAAAAATCTCCTCTACTGTTCAAGATGGAAAGAAAGAGAGAGAAAAAGAAAGAGATTGCATGAGAAGAAAAGGCATGGTACTTACACTGTCTTGAAATAGTAGAATGCAATGGTTTATCATCCAATATGTCATAAATGAGTATATCTTTTCCAAGCTTAGAAATAATTCTGGTTAGTATTTCTTTATAAAGACGCGTACGTCCCAAAGGTTCTTCTGTATTCTTTTAAAGTGAAACAGCGGACAAATTTCCCTTTCCGGTAACTTTGAGATCTAAAATATTTCACAGAGCTCTCTAGCGACACTTTAAGTAATTGTCCCTCAATAAAGGGACAAAAGAGACAATTTTTCCTCTTTCTTATGTCTTTAAACATGACCATTTCTTGAAAATCAGTTTTCCTTCTCTTCCAACATGTGTGTAAGTAATCAAACATTGTTTCGTCTTGGACGCCATCTGACGCAAATGTCACTTTTTTGTCTTTAATGAAAACGAACCCTTTGGATTGCAATGTCTGAATGCTTTCGGTTATGCTCTTTAAAATAAGTTTTGTCCCACAAATTTCAAGTACTCTTGTTGTAAAAGTGTCTGTGCTTTCTAGGATAAAGGTATTATCATTACTGCAAAGGAGGAGAAATAAGGCAGCACGTTCCTCATTTGACAACTGCTTGTATTTTTCTACAAAAAAAAAGAAAAATTACTGATACTTTAGTACCATATAAGCAGAATATTCAGTTATTTTAATTTTAGCATTAATAGCGAGAATGTTAAAATCGACAAAATTGAAAATCGCTAAAATTGCACTTAATGTCTTCAAGTGCTCGGCAGCTACTTTTTGATTAGTTTGCTTAAAGATTAACACTCAAACGCATTCACAGAGATGAATAATGTCATTTATTTAAATGACGACATGAAAGAAAATACTTTACACAAAAGAATGGGGATCAGACTAACAAGCTCCGATTGAAATTCAAAATATACGTGATTCCAAAAATACCGGGACAGCATGGAAATAAAAATATAAGTGATCTGCTCAACTATCCACGTTATCCTAGCCCGCTTATCATTGGCTGGAACTTCGCATACCACCGGCGTAAAATCCCAGTCTGCTATACTTATTTTACATAAACTAGCACACATGTAAATACAACGTATTTAAGGATATCCGATCCTCAGCCAGGATGGATAACTCTAAAAATTAATATTTAATTTAAAATGCATCAAAACGAAGCTCGAAAATGAAAATTTTTCATGCATCAATTTTCACTTTATTTCATCTTTATAAGATTAAAGGTTTTTTGGAAGTTTTAAGTATCAGTCACATTATCCAGCGATGGGGTATACGATGAGAAACCGATGCTTTTTTTTGATGAAAATGGCGTGGTTGGAAGTGATCGGAAGGTAACTGAGGCCATTTTGCGAATCGGTGGGGTAATCGGTAGGAAATAATTCGTAGTTAAAATTCAGCGATGTCTCCAACGATGCCTCACATCGCTCCTCATCGACAACCCATCATTAACCCATCTTTCACGGATCGGTTGATGTTTGGCCGAGCATCGTTCAATATCCGTTGAATCTGATGTCATCGGGGGGTTAAGTGGTTTTCAACAGATAACGGCCGATCATTGGTCGATGTTCAAACGATGTTCATTAATGTATGAGCGAAGTAATATGCATCGGCCGATTATCCTGGAACATCGTTTTATGATTAGCAATGCATCGCTCGACCTTTGTAAGTCCGGCCGGCAACCACGCCATTTTTCTCATTGGTTGCCCATCGAATACCCACCGCTGGAAAATGTGACTGATTCTGTAAGGACTACTAAGCCGATGTGGACCGATGTTGGGGCATTGTTAACACCACGGATTACCACCGATTACCACCGGTCTACGGCTACCGGCCGGGAAATGTGACCTATGCATTAGAAAAGGTCTTATAAAGGTTTATATTTGTACACTTTAAAAGGAAAAACATAATTAATACAGTTTATGAGCAATAAGATTTTCTTGAATCAAGCCTTAGATACCAATGATTTTTAGCATGATATGAAATGCGAAGTGATCAGTTGTGTCTTAGAATGATCGCAAAAGCCTTTTACATGTACATGTATTATAGAATACATGACGGAAATATGAGACAACAAGAGGCCCAGGGGCCACAGCGCTCACCTGAGCACATCGGGCTTGAATTTACTCCCTCCCCCCTCCAGGCGTTCATCATTTGAACAAACTAGAATCTACACTACCTGAGGATGATTACATATAAATATCACTAATCATAGCTTTGAAGTACTTGAAAAGAAGATTTTAAAAGGTTTCCCTATATATTCCTATGTAAAACTTGGGTCGGCCATTTTGGCCCCACCCTAGCCCCGGGGGTCATGATTTGAACAAACTTGAATCTGCACTACCTGAGGATGATTCCACATGAGTTTTATCTTTCCTGGCCCAGTGGTTCTGGAGAAGAAGATTTTTCTTATATATTCCTATGTAAAACTTGGGTCGGCCATTTTGGCCCCACCCTTGCCCCGGGGGTCATGATTTGAACAAACTTGAATCTACACTACCTGAGGATGATTCCACATGAGTTTCATCTTTCCTGGCCCAGTTGTTCTGGAGAAGAAGATTTTTAAAGATTCTTCCTATGTATTCCTATGTAAAACTAGGGTCGGCCATTTTGGCCCCACCCTAGCCCCGGGGGTCATGATTTGAACAAACTTGAATCTACACTACCTGAGGATGATTCCACATGAGTTTCATCTTTCCTGGCCCAGTGGTTCTGGAGAAGAAGATTTTTAAAGATTTTTCCTATATATTCCTATGTAAAACTTGGGTCGGCCATTTTGGCCCCACCCTTGCCCCGGGGGTCATGATTTGAACAAACTTGAATCTACACTACCTGAGGATGATTCCACATGAGTTTCATCTTTCCTGGCCCAGTGGTTCTGGAGAAGAAGATTTTTAAAGATTTTTCCTATATATTCCTATGTAAAACTTGGGTCGGCCATTTTGGCCCCACCCTTGCCCCGGGGGTCATGATTTGAACAAACTTGAATCTACACTACCTGAGGGTGATTCCACCTGAGTTTTATCTTTCCTGGCCCAGCGGTTCTAGAGAAGAAGATTTTTTAAAAATGCCATTAATTTTTAACAAATTCATGATTATCTCCCCTTGGAAAAGGGCGTGGCCCTTAATTTGAACAAACTTGAATCCCCTTTACCCAAGGATGCTTTGTGCCAAGTGTGGTTGAAATTGGCCTAGTGGTACTTGAGAAGAAGTCGAAAATGTGAAAAGTTTACAGACGGACAGACAGACGGACGGACACACATTTGGTTATATATTGGGTACATCAAGTCCAAGTCCTATTGGATACTGCTTATTGGATACAAAAAAAGTGTACACACGAGAGAGCATTATTTGGGTAGTTACTGTTCAAATCTTATTGGATATTAATCCCCGTGTCCGTATTTTATTGGGTTTCTTCTTACTGTTTTTTATTCATTTCAAATTTATTATATATTTAATATTTGCTGGTAAATTCAGACAAGACTGAAAACCTTTGGTTTTGAACCCATATTTTTGTCAATTTCTGTGATATAGCTCTTTTATTGTAACACCTAACTAATTTTTTCTTAGCAACAAGGATATACACCTGTATATTTCAAAATAATTAATATTAAAATATATGAATACCTAAGTGCAAAAAAACTGAATTGTGAAAACACAACTCAACACATCTCAGACTCTGTTCAAACTTTCTTGAATAACAAAATTAAGTATTTAAGGAGAAACCTTTTTGAGTCATGACCAATTAATAATAAGCAAATGCCCATTACATGTTGAACAGAATGAAGGTATCCAACAGGCATTGGACAGGTGTCCTATACCTGTTGGGTTGTATTTTGACGAAGGGATTAAACTACCCAAGAACAATTGAACGTGTGTACATTGTCCAATTCTATTTGGGTTTCTTGAATCTCCTCATCAAAATACAACCCAACAGGTAATGGACACCTGTCCAACTCCTCTTGGATATCTACATCTCACCCAACAGGTAATAGACACTTGTCCAGTTCTTCTTGGGTTTCTTGAATTGTTTCATCAGAATACCACCCAACAGGTAATGAACATTTGTCCAACTCCTCTTGGATATCTACATCCCACCCAACAGGCAATCGACACTTGTCTAATTCTTGGAATTCTTGAATTGCATCATCAAAATACAACCCAACAGGTAAAGGACACCTGTCTAACTCCTCTTGGATATCTACATCCCACCCAACAGGTAATGGACACTTGTCCAATTCTTCTTGGGTTTCTTGAATTGTTTCATCAGAATACCACCCAACAGGTAATGGACATCCGTCCAACTCCTCTTGGATATCTACATCCCACCCAACAGGCAATGGACACTTGTCTAATTCTTGGGTTTCTTGAATCTCCTCATAAAATACAACCCAACAGGTAATGGACACCTGTCAAACTCCTCTTGGATATCTACATCCCATCCAACAGGTAATGGACACTTGTCCAATTCTTCTTGGGTTTCTTGAATTGTTTCATCAGAATACCACCCAACAGGTAATGGACATCCGTCCAACTCCTTTGGATATCTACATCTCACCCAACAGGTAATGGACACTTGTCCAATTCTTCTTGGGTTTCTTGAATTGTTTCATCAGAATACCATCCAACAGGTAATGGACATCCGTCCAACTCCTCTTGGATATCTACATCCCACCCAACAGGCAATGGACACTTGTCTAATTCTTGGGTTTCTTGAGAATCCCCTCATCAGAATACTACCCAACATGTAATGGACACCTGTCCAATTCCTCTTGGATATCTTCATCCCTTCAATAGTATAGAAACTAAAAGGTATTGGACATTCTCCTTGGGTTACTCAAATTTTTTTTCATAAGAAAGAAAACCCAATAGGTATTGGACATTGGTTCAGCTCTTCTTGGATATTACAATCCAACATTAGAATAAAACCCAACAGGTGACGTTTACCTGTCCAATTCTTCTTGGGTTACTTATACCCTTCATTAAAATTGTCAAATTTGTCTTGGATATTTATACTCTTGCATTAGATTGCAAACCCTATAAGTATGACATTTACCTTCCCTAGTTGAATTCAAATTTATCTGCATAAGCATACATAAGTCCAAAACATATTTAATACTTTAATTCTAACATTCCACATCTCATTCAGTGTACACTTTACAAATGATAGGAAATATATAAGCATTTTGTGCCTAAACTATTTGGTTTTTAAAGAATTTTATAACCATGTTTGCAAAATTTAAATTTAAATATTGGAACTTGGAGCAAGTCATTACAGGTAGATCAAGATACTGAAAACCATATTGATAAATAGATCACACCCTTAATAAAATATTTGCCTTCAGTTGCTAAGATTGTGTTGTATTATATGGAAAAGTTCTATAATCCTGTTTATTAGAGATACATGTACAATGCATATTTTCCCTGTAATAATAAAAATACTTCTGAGATGTAAAACAATGGATTAAATAGTCACCGATGTTAAAAGATATTACATTATCTCATTAATCTTGTTTGGAAATCACAAACTTAGTTTTGAAGCCGATAAAACAGTGTCGCACCAGAAAACTCAGTTACAAGTACAATGAATGAATTCGTTGTATCAAAACTT